TTTTTTTTTTTTGTTTGTTTTGATACTGGGGATTGAACAGAGCCACATCCCCATCCCTTTTTATATTTTATTAGAGACAGAGTCTCGCAAAGTTGCTTAGGGCCTCACCAAGTTGCTGAGGCTGGCTCTGAACTCAGGATCCTCCTGCCTCAGCCTCCGGAGCCACTGGGATCACAGGTGTGCACCATCACACTCAGCTCCAGTGTGTTTGAGAATGAGTAAAGGAGAAGGAGTAAAGGCAGGAGTGTCACCTGGGAGGGCTTCTTGGAGGGACAGTGGGGAAGAGGACCTCACCTGACACTGTATCAGCGCTTCCTTATAGTACTTCAAAGCCTGGTCATATTGTCCCAGTCTGGCTGCAGCAGCCCCAAGACCCTCGTAGGCCTGCCACTGCCCCTTCGTGTCCCCTGGGAAAGAGAGTCTGAAAGGTTCTCTCATCCTGTCCCATCCCGTGTATCGTCCACTCCAGAGGTACTCCCCACCCCTAGATCCCCCGTCTGCCTCCCCATAGCCCCAAGGATCCTCAGTTTGGGGGTACCCCACCCAAGTCATGGCTCCCCCTCAACTCTTACCAGCATCCTGGGCAGCCAGCAGGGCATGCAGATAGTTGTCCCTGGCGGCCCTGTGGTCCCCCAGCTGGCTCAGGGCAAATGCCAGGCTGCCAAAGCTTCGTCCCTGCTCCCACCGCTGCCCCAAAGAGCCTGATGATAGATCGAAGCCCGTCCTAAGAGGGGACTTTGGTTGCCGGGGCATCAGGACCCTGCCTCCCAGCAAGTAAGGAAGGGTGCCCAGGGATAGGTGCCCAGGGATCCCGCGCCCAGCCCCGGCCCAGCTCCAGGTGCACCACAGAGACCTGAACTCTCTGTGCCAGCTTTTCTGTCCTGAGCTCTGACCCCGTTGCCCACCCTGGCTAGTTTTACCATGCACCAACCTCGTGAGGTAGGCAAGGCACATGTTTTGGTTGGTTTGGTTTTTTTTGTTTTTGTTTTTGTTTTTTTGTAGTCCTGGGGATTGAACCCAAGGGCTCTTTATCACTGAGTCACATTCCCAGCCCTTTAATTTTTTTACTTTTAGGTATCGAGGAGGGAACCCAGAAGTACTTTGTCACTGAGCTGCATTCCCCAGTCCTTTTTATTTTTTATTTTAAGACAGGGTCACACTAAGTGGCCCAGGCTGGCCTTGAACTTGTAGTCCTCCTGTCTCAGCCTCTGACTGGCTGGGATTACAGGCATGAACCTCCTTGCCTGGCAAAGCAGACCTTAATAGCTCCATTTTATATGGGTGGAAACGGAAGCTCAGAAGGAGAGCTCACACACTCAGTCAGAGGAAGGGCTAGGCTCCACCCCGGGCCTCTTATCCCAACCAGTGCCCTTCCCTGTGTCCATCGCTGCCTTTGCAACACGGGGCCCCAGCTCCTGGGCCGCAACCCTCTGTCCCATCTGGTATCCCATTTCCTGTACTCTCAGCCCTCACTTCCTCACTCTCGGCTTCCAGGCCCAATGACCTTGCAAAGGTCATCTACCTTGAGTCCTGGGCCCCACTGAAGCCCCCCCTTACTCCTTGAGCCCCAGTCTCATTCCCCAGCCCCTGCACTCACCATGGAGGTCAGCAGCCTTCTGGTGAAACTGCCGGGCTTCCTGATAGTTGCCAAGGGCATTGTGGGCCATCCCCAGGTTCCTTAGCACAGTGGCCTGCTCTCCTGGCCTCTGGCACAGGGAAAGGGCCTGAAGGAAGGTCTCCACGGCCAGAGGGAACAGCTGGAGCTGGGAGTAGCCCAGGCCTAGATCGTTATAGAGCTGTCCTGGAGGACACAGACAGAGCAGTCACGTCTAGGGCCTGCAGGTACGACTGTCCACTAGCCCCTTCCCCGACCTCACAGTAGCATCAGCTTGGTGTCGCCCCAGACCCCACATCTTCCCTGCCCAAGGCCTCACCCAGCAGCCCCTGCTTGGTGCTCCTCTTGGCCAGTCTCCGGCTCCCCTCCAGCGCCTGCACCACCTCACCCACCCCGTGCCGCCCACTCTTGAGCATACACCCCGCCGCAGCCCCCAGTGCCAGGGCTGCAGCCCGAGGCCGGCCAGCTTCGGCGTAGGCTTGGCTTGCTTCCTTCAGGCACTGGGCTGCTCTCTCGGGCTGTCCCAGGGCTTGGTAGCAGGCTCCCATCTTTGCTTGGGCTTCCCCCTGGTCACCCTGTGGCTGGTAATGACTCAGGGCCTTGTGATACCAGTTCAAGGCTTGGGGCAGGTCACCCAGGGCATGGTAAGCCAAAGCCACGTTGAAACACTGGTCACCATGACACGTGCTCTGTGCCTTCTCCTCAGGTTGGGCTCCAAGGAGCAGCTCAAGGCCTCTGGCTGGGTCCCCAGTCTCCACATAGGCAGCCCCCAGGTTGAAGGCGCAGGCCCGAAGCACAGGGGTGTTTCTGGTTCGTGGGGCCTCACAGGCCAGGAGGAAAGCCTTCTGGAAGTTGCTCAAGGCCTCGTGGTTCTGACCAGCTTTCAGAGCCCGGTGGCCAGCCCTGGTGAGGGCCTGGATAATGGGCTCTTGCTGTAGCCACTTTCTTTTCTTCTTGTCACTCAAGAACTCTGGCTCCTGGGGGATATCCTCAGGACTGGGGGGAGACATTGGGCTGACAGTGGGGAACAGAGGGTCAGTACGTCCACCCTGGCTACCCCGAGAAGGATCCCTAAAGGGCAATCCAACTCTGCCCCTGTCCAGGGGAACCCACAGGTTCCGGGGTCTCCCTCTGACATCTCACCTCATGTCATCTGTCCCGTTGTGCTGCAGATTGACACTGATTCTGAGGTCTTGTTCTTAGCTCTCCTTCAGCTCTCAGGATTCTTATTTTTTCTTTCAGAAAGTCCCCTTCCCTGCCACCGACTGGAGACTTCTGTGGTCCTACAGCCCCTTATGCCTGTGTCTTTTACGGTATTTATTACGCTGGTTTGGAGATGCTAACTTTCTTGTCTGTCTCTCTCATTAGATTTGGAGCAACTTGAAGGCACAGAATAGATTCTTAATAAACTTAATGAATGAGATCTAGGGACGGCTGCTGGTGATGGGTATATAGTGTGAGGGTACTCAGTGCCACCAAAGTGGACACATAAAAGCCTGTAATCCCAGTAGCTCAGGAGGCTGAGGCAGGAGGATAGCAAGTTCAAGGCCAGACTTAGCAACTTATCGAAGAAAAAAAAAAAGATAAGGAAAAAAAAATGGTGAGAATAACTGGGCATAAAGGTGCAAGTCGGTAATCCCAGCTACTTGGGAGGCTGAGGCAAGAGCAATACAAGTTGGAGACCAGCCTGGGCAATTTAGTGAGATCCTGTCTCAAAATAATAATAAAAAGGGGTTAGGGTCATAGCTCAGTGAAAGAGCACCATTGGGTTCAATACCTAGTACTGCCACCACTTCTGGCCTCAAAATTGTCTTTTAATGAAAATGGGGGTGTAGCTAGTGGCAGGGTACTTGCCTAGCATGCATAAGGCCCTGGGTTCAATCCCCCAATACACACAAAAAAAAATTTTAAAGGTTAAAACAAATTTTATATTATATCTACTTTACCACAATAAAAAAGTTTATGCAAGCCAGGCACAGTGGTGCCCGCCTGTAATCCCAGCGGCTCAGGAGGCTGAGACAGGAGGATCTCGAGTTCAAAGCCAGCCTCAGCAAAGGTCAGGTGCTAAGCAACTCAGGGAGACCCTGTCTCTAAATAAAATTCAAAATGGGGCTTGGGATGTGGCTCAGTGGTCGGGTGCCCCTGAGTTCAATCCCTGGTACTCCCCACCACCAAAAAAAAAAAAAAAAACAGTTTATGCAAAAAAAAAACTTTTAAAGTTTATGGAATGAACAAAGAAAGAACAAGAAACACAGGACCCCTGCTCCGACACCTCATCACACTATGCCTGCACATACACTGGCCCAGTCATAATCTAGGCTCCTGCTGTCAAATCCAAGATGTAGTTGAGGTCAGTGAGCTCCTGTTGTGGTCAGGAGCCATAGGAGGCATGGGGGGCCCAAAGCTGAACAGGCTACTGAATGGGCAAGGAGTCAACCTGCAGAAGAGCAATTCTGTCTCCAGATCTCCTACATCCTCCCTTCCTCAGGGGGTGCTTCTCTCTCCCCGTCTCTGCCTTCTACCTGCTTGTCGGTTTCTGTCCCCCAACATCCTGCTCTAGTCCCCAGAGTTCTCTTAAACCCCAACACATTCATCTCATCCGCATGTGTATCCTATTAGTATTTTTCCTGTTGAAACAAATGCAAAGCCCATTCCTGAACTCTTTCCTAGGACACAGGAGAAGGAGTGGAAAAGACCTAGGTGTTGGGCTCTTGGCCCCTCCTATTTTCTCCCCTGTCTCCATCTTTTTTTAGGAAGGGCTGGCAGAAGTGAGGCGTTCTCTTTTTAAATACAGTCTCTTTGGCCGGGCGCAGTGGCACCAGCCTGTAATTCCAGGACCTCAGGAGGCTGAGGCAGGAATATTGGAAGTTCGAGGCCAGACCCAGAAACTTAGTAAGACCCTGTCTCAGAATTAAAAGGACTAAGGAAATAGCTTGGGGGTAAAGCATCAATCTCCAGTACCAAAGAGTTCAATCTCCAATATCAAAAACAAACAAAAACAGACCCAGACCTCCTGACTTTCCAAGATCCTCGACCCTGGTGTGTTCCTGGCCATCCCCAGCCAGTCTGGGTGCCCTGCTGCAGAACACCTTACCTGTTGGGTTTCTCTCTGCAGCTGGCTTTCTGGAATGGTTCCTCTGGCTTGGGTTACTTCCCCTAGCTCTAAGCTCGGAGCCCCCAGGGTTACCAGACAACGGGGTACCGCCCTCCACTCGCAGGGAATTGAGTGTCAGCTCAGGTGGCCTATGTTAGTGCTATGCCCTGATGGTGCTGAGACAGACACTAGAGGTCTATTCCCCTTCCTGTCCCCCACCCCAAGTCCCTTCCTTCAAGGAAAGTATCACAGCCTCATAGGGCTGGTTACCAATTAAAACTCTAGAGCTCATCTCTCCTGTCCCTTCCCTGCACAGGCAACATGGCTGAGGCTCAGAAAGAAGATGTGACTTCAAACAGGGCCCAGAGCAGTCATGTAGCTGGGATTAGACCCCAGGTTTTCTGGTTCAAGATAATTAGCCCCGAGCCCCTTTGCCATGCCACGATTACAAGCTTTAATGGGCTTGGGCTGTTCTGGAGGTGAATCCGTTCACAGACACACACACACACACTCTGACAAACTGTGCCTCTGTGTGGTAGTCTCACATTTGGGAACAGGGTGAAAAAGGTGGATGGTCAGAAAAGGCCTGAAGATCAGAAGATCTCCCTGCCCCCAAACTCCTTTTCCTAGCTCCACTGATCTGCAACCTCCAGGTTCTGCTTAATGACAGGACAGCAGGCCCCAGGACCACAGGGACCTAATGACCCAACTCTCCAAGGGTGGCCTGAATCAGAAAGCACATGTCCTCATTTACCTAGAGAAAGGCTTCTTTTAAGTAGAGAGTTCTTTGCCAGAAACGAACCTATCAGGAAGTTGTTGGGCTCACCTGCGTTTGCCCTGCAGCCTCTGCTGAGTGCTGGCTGTGGGCAGGCATCCTGCCAGACATCCTAGAGGGTGCCCTTGCCCACGGCAGGCTCCTCTAGGGCCTTCAGGACCCTACCACAGTCTAGCCCCGGGCTAAATACGCAGCTCAGTCTGTCCTTCAATCAGCAGCCTTCCTTAAGGACAGATAGGATGATTTGTGGTGAGGGAAAGGACCCAAACTGCTCTCACCAAGGTTCCAATGACCTTCCAATGATCCAGCGACCATTTCTGAATTTTTTTTTTTTTTTTGTACAGGTGCCAAGCTATATCCACAGCCCGTTTTATATGTTCTTTAGAGACAGAGTCTTGCTAAGTTGCTTAGAGCCTTGCTAAATTGTGCTGAGGCTGGCTTTGGACTTGTGACCCTCCTGCCTCAGCCTCCTGAGCTGCTGGGTTTACAGATGTGGGATTACAGAAGCACATGGCTTCTGAATAATTTCCTTGTTTGGTTTCACGCTGTATCTACCACATCCTTGCGCCTCTCCATTTGCTTTCCATGAGCCATGTGTCCTGGCTCTGTCTTTCCTTCGCTGACAATTCCTCTTTCCACTTCCTAAGCTAGTTTTCCCCAAACTCTGTCCTTTGCCCTCTTTCAAGAACATTTCATCCACTCCTTTGATTTTGACACCACTGATAAGTCAATAATTTCTGTAGACTTAACTTGTCCAAATGAAACTCGTGTTTCTTCATGTTCATAGTGTTACTAGTAGAAACCCAGGAGAAAACCTCAGCTCCTTCTTTGATTCTTAGCCCAATGATTGCACCTTTCTTTCTTTTTCTTTTGTTAGTGGGGTGGGGAGTGGGTACTGGGGATTCAACCCAGGGGCATTTTACCACTGAGTTACATCCTGACACGAGTAGGAGACTGCGGCGAGGTCCCTCGATCGCTCCCGGGTGGTCCTGAAGTCAAGATCGGCCCTGCCCCAGGTAACTTCTCCCGGCCGACGATCCGTGTCTTGAAGAAAGAAGCCGCTGCACACGAGATGCCTTTTCGAATGCTCGGTTTATTCACGCCAGGGGCATCACATCACATGAGGCACAGGAACAGAGGCTGGCGGGACTCAGTTCGCTCCATGTTGACCCACCAACATAGCGGGTCTGAACTGGCCAAAGAGCTCAGCCTTCCTGGCCTTTAAATACTATAGTTGTTTACAACACTTCAAACCAAAAACATGTTTATTCCATAATTTCTATTTCTTATCCTATCTTAACAGATTGTCTCTATTGCATCACATCTTGCTTACATCTTGCTTATCTTAAACTATCACACTTGTTTTGTGCTAAAATACCTCAAAACATGTTTACCTTATATCCTTATCTATTTCACACATTTTTCTAGCTTAGGCACCTTTCTTCATCAAAACATGTTTACTTCAAACTCTCCTGTCCTTTGTTTATTCCAAACTCTCCTGTAACTCTCCTGTCACATCCTCAGCCCTTTTTATTTTTTGAGACAGAAGCAGTTACAGCCTAAGTTGCTGAGGTTGGTTTCAAACCTGCAATCCTCTTGTCTCAGACTCCAGAGCCACTGGGATTACAGGCTCTCCAGTCCTTTTTTAAAATTTTGAGATAGGGTCTCACTAAGTTCCTCAGAGAGGGTGTCCCTAAATTGCTGAGGCCAGTCTCCAAATTGCAATCCTCCTGTTTCAACCTCCTAAATTGCTGACATTATAAGTATGTACCTCCTCACCTGGTTAATGGTTTTACCTTTGAAATTCATGTCCAGTGTATATTCTTTTCCACAGTCTCATGACTATGACCTTGGAGGTGAAACTGTATATAGTGGCTAAGAACTTAAACTTGAGAGCCACAGCCGAGTGAGAATGGTGCCTGGCATACTACCAGAGGAGTGGTTGAGAGGTGACGCCAGCGAGCCATTAAGATGATGATAAGTAAGTTAAGCTGTGTATAATTGCTGTGACTGGATGATGCTGGATTGAAACAGGCTGTCTATTCAGTTGTATATGGACCCCTGCTGTCTGGCAATAGGGCAGCTCCTGCCCAGTTGAGTTCCCATTGAGTTCTGGTGGAGCTCCCGCAGGGATTCCTGAA